TCATTAGACTCATTACTTGGTAAGGAGTGGGTTTGTTGCCATTATAGTGAGAGTGCGTCAGCTTTCTGGCATTGTTATTTCACTGCAAGGCATCGAAAACTTTTTGAATGATTTTTTTTCAATTTGTGGGTAGTAGGGATGTTGATTTGTAAGTAGTAACTTTTACTGAAGCCATTATTTGGTAATGGGTTTTTTGTTTTTTTTTTTTTTTTTTCTTACAGCCAATTTCAGCAATGATACAAAAAAATTCATTTTCAGATATTTTTTTAAATTTATTTTTTTAATTTTTAAAGCTTTATAAAGGATTTGAAAATCATTTTCTACCCTTTTACTCCAGATTCTAGAAATTCCCAATTGAAATACCTCCCAGCAATTTTCAAAAGGATGCTTTTTTTGTAAATTTAGATTATATTTGATCAAATGCCAATATTTTCAAAAATAAAATCGTTGTTTATTTTTCTTCCTAGCCACAAAAATTCGAAAATTTACAAATTTTCAAAATAAATTTCAATTTCACATCTTCCGAAAATCTCTGAAGTTTATTAACTACTTCTTTTTTTCTACAAAAATTTATTAACTCTATATCCATCTGTTGCTATGCCAAATAAAAAAAAATCTGAAATGTAATGATTCTTCTCCCGGCACCTTTCATTCATTTCTCCGCTAAGGCTACGGTATTGCTTCCGCTGGCAAATGGATGGCCGCAATGGCATGAAAAGGAAATAAATTATTAAATTAAAGATGTATTACATTCAGGCCGATTATAAACAACTGTTAATGGCAATGGATGTGGATGAGGAGGATGTTTGGGAGAATGCGAGGGGAGAAAATGTAGCGCCATAAGACATGATCGCAGAATGTAAGCAAATCAAACTGGCGGTAAAAATGAAAAAAAAAAGGCAAATGACTAAAGAAGGAAATTGTTTTAATATTAAAAAACAACAACAACAACAACAACAAGAAAAAATAAATTAACATTAATTATATGCAATTTTGTTAAGCTTTCTTTCATGGCACAGCTAACAACAACAACGGCAGCTTGGGAGAAGAGGAAAAACAAAATATGAAAGATTTTTCTTCTTTTTTTCCAGAGAGGCTTAGGTCCACAAGAAAATCTCAGCTTGAAATTGGGAAAAAATAGTTAAGGCTAATTAAATCTCCTTAAGAAACAAACAGAAAACAGCTGCCTTTTCTTATCATAATCAGTAACATCGAAACGAAAAATACCCCTAAAGAAAATCTCTAAATATCTCTAAAATCAGACCTTGAAAAACTTGTTAACTATTCACGGAGTTATTGAAAATGAAGAGAGATGAAAATTCTCTAACAAAAGGCAGAACAACAGGAAGCTAAATCCCTTGCCTTAGCTGGCCAGCTATTCAGCCAGCATTCATTCATGGAGGTCGGATTTAAGGTACAACACCAACAACAACATCATCGAGGAAAAATGAGGAGATGAAAAGCAACAAAAGAAATTTTAAGCGGCTTAAAGACACATTTTTCATGTTTTACAAGGCGCATTTAGAGAAATGGAACAACAGCAACAACAACACAAATGTGGAGAAAATATTTTTGGAATTTGAAAGGTATTTGAAAAGGCCAGCAGCCACAGCCAAAGAAAGACCAGCCAGAAATCTCTTAGACAAATTGGCTCCAAAGAACATTGATTGGAATTTTCTTTGTTTGTTTTCTTTCATTTTTTTCCTACGTGGGGCCTAGCTCTTTGTTGTGGGGGAAGGGGGATCTTGGCCATGTAACCTAAAATGGTATAATCATCATCGTCATCATCATGCTGCCACGGTTCGTTACGACAACATTCCATGGGCCAAATGCTGGCTGATGTGACGTCTAAATGTCTAAGAATTTTCAAGAAGTGATACAAAAAAAAAAAAAAAAAAAAAACAAAGAGCAGAGAACTTAACAAGTCTCTCTGTGCCAAGAAAATCCAAGAAAGAAATATTTATTTACTTAAACAATTAGAAGGAAAAGCATTTTCCCATCGACGTAGTACCGGCAATAAGCTCCTAAGGGATTAGGTGTCATGTAGCAACATATTCTCTCTTAAGTACGTAGGGGAAGGACGAGAGAGAGGGGAGAGAGAGTGGGAGACAAACTTGTGACAAGTTGAAAATGCCTACAAATTGTTGGGGTAGAGGTATTCCCCTGATTGGGTGGTCCACTCTCTCGCAACAGGTATGTTCGTACGCACTACTTGTCAAACTTCGATATGTTATAATTCTCAAATCGCATAGTTTTATATGATGGGAAATTCCGGATTTTTTGCAAGCCATGGTCGGTCGGTCGGTCTGGTGCAAAAAAGGAAAACACATGTCGCTCTGTGTTTCTTTGCTTTTTTACAATCTGTCATAAAATTGTGCACACATTTTGTTGCCTGGCTGACTGTCTGTCTGGTGGGTCGTTCGTTCGGCTGTGTGGTGTCCCTATGTGTGTTTTTATAAGCAGGTCATAAAAACATAAACAAAATCCTAGGTCAAAAAGAGTGTGGGAATTTCCCACATTTTCCGGTGTTGCAATGTGTGTGCCCGGTTGGTGTTTAGCAACATTGGTACACAATTCTTATTTCGGCAATTGGTCTAGGATTCTAATTGGAAAATGGAGAGAACTTTTACATGGAAGAGAGAGAACGAGGAATTGAGAGTCAAAATTGGGAGAAAGGGATTTGAATTTAATTTTAAAAATAAAACGATATAACCCATATTTTTATTTGGAATTAAAAAATATATTTTTTAATTTTCTTCAAAACAAAAATTGAAGAATTGAAAAAAAAAAAATAAAAAAATTAGAAAATTATTTTTTAAGTGCCAAAATGTCTTTATATTTAAAAATTGGAAATATGAACTCTGTGTGAAATTTGATGGTAAAATGAGGGATATTTTATCGGTTTTGGTTATTCAACATTTTAAATCCCTTTGTGGGGGAAGTGCCCGAAGGATTTGGCCGATATCTACATTATTCACAACAGATATTGTGTTGGTCGAAATATTGAGATACGCAGAATTTTTGTCTTTATTTTGAGCCCTTTGTGGGGAAGCTACCAGAAGGAGTGAACCTATTTCTTTCATATTTACAACCCACCTTGAGTTAGTTAAAATATTGGCTTGTGTGAAATTTGAAGAGAATCGGAGGCTCATTTTTGTATTTTATAAGCGTTTTTGTTTTTCAAAATTTTGACCACTTTGTGGGGTAGGTACCAGAAGGAGTGGACCTACATCTACCATATTCATAACAGATTTTGTGTTGATAAAAATATTGATAAATCCAAAATTTGAAAATGATCGGATTATTTTATTACACCTTTTTCACTAGTTATAATTATTCCAAATTTTAACCCTTTGTGGGGGAGGTACCAGAAGGAGTGGGCCGATGTATCCCATCTTTACACCAGATCTTGTGTTGATGGAAATATTACGATGTATGAAATTTGAAGAGAATCGGATGCTGATTTCGCATTTTATGATCATTTTATTTACTCAAAATATGTAACCCTTTGTGGGGGAGGTACAAGAAGGAGTGGACCGATGTATCCCGCCTTCACACCAGATCTTGGGTTGCTAGAAATATTGAGATGTGTAAGATCTGAAGGTAATCGGATTATTTTATCACACTTTTTTACGAGTCAAAATTTCTCAAAATTTTGACCCATTGTGAGGGAGGTACCAGAAGGAGTGGGCCGATGTATCCCATCTCTACACCAGGTCATGTGTCAATAGAAATATTGAGCTGTGCTAAATTTGAAGATAATCGAATGCATATTTCACATTTAATGAGAGTCATACTTATTCAAAGGGTTTGACCTCTTTGTGAGGGAGGTACCAGAAGGAGCACACCAATCTTTACCATATTCACAACAGATCTTGTGTTGGTTGAATTAATGGGATGTGCGGAGTTTTAAAAAAATTGAATTCTTTTTTCAAGGGTTATTCAAGAGTTATAGTTATTCAAAATTTTTACCCATTGTGGGTGAGGTACCCGAAGGAGTGGACCGATATTGTCCATTTTTCCATCAGGCATCGCACTGATAGAAATATTAAGATTTGCCAAGTTTATATAAAATTGAATTATTTTTTCTTGTTCTAATAAATAAATTATTTTCTGTAAATTTTTTAAATGTTTGCGGAAGGGAGAGTCGAGCTCGGTACTAAAAGTTTAAGGATTTCGAAAGTCCATTTTTGAAGAATTAAAAAAAACACGCTCACAAAAATTTCAATTCGACTGTTGAATTTGTACTCTATGTTTCAAATTCCCTTCGTCTCTGGTTTATTCCCTCTCAAAATTTCAATTTTAGATTCTTAATTTATTTGCTTTTGATGAATTTAAAGGTTGCTCAGAATTAATACAAATATTCCAAAAAGTAAAAAAATGGATTTTTAGATTTTAAATTAAATTTTGCAAATTCGACAATAATGAAGTGAAAAAGTTGTAAAAATGTCTTCTTTTTAGAATTTTCATTTCAATAATCCGAAAATATTGAAATAAAAATTCTAAAAAAAAACATTTTTTTAGAAATTTTAAATCAAATTTACCAAAAAAAAAAAAATCTAAAATAGATTTTAAATTAAATTTTTCAAATTCGACAACATTGAAGTGAAAAAATTCTAAAAAATGTATTTTTTTTAGAATTCTTTATTTCAATAATCCGAAAATATTGAAATAAAAATGCTAAAAAACATTTTTTTTAGAAATTTTTTTTTTCGAATTTCCTTAAAATTTACCAAAAAAAAAAAAAAATTCTAAAAAGTAGATTTTTTAGAATATTTTTTAATATTTTCAAATTGCTTCAAAAATAAAAAAATAAATAAATTTAGAATCAAAAAATTTTAAGGGTATAAAATGTTCGGATTTGACAATTTTTTTTTGAATCAAAAATTAATCGAAAAAAATTTCTGACAAAATACTGTATTTTTTCTAAGGAAACCCCAAACCTTTTTTTTTGAATATTAAAAAAAAATAATAATAGAAAATTATTTTCTAAAACTTACCCGCTGGTCTATTGTTCCGACGATTTCCATCATTTTCATCGACAATCAATGGCGAGTGTCGGCGGCCATTGACCATTACCGAGGTTTGGCTAAGGCAGACCAAACCGAAGATGAACAGCTGGAACATGACGGATGTCAAGGTGTGTGATGATGATGATGTTTTGTTATGGAAATTTGAGGATTTTGCCATTTCGATTTTGTAATTCACTTTTTTTTGGATATTCTTTAAAAATAAAATAAATTTGTTTCTTTTCTCTGTTGATTGAACTGGAGAAAAAAAAACAGACAAAACGATCGTTGGTGTTGTTGTTTTTGCTAAAGATTAGATAACACTTGAAGAAATTATATATTTCTTTTGTTTTGTTATTATTTTTTCTCAATTTTTTTTTTTGTTTGCAAATTTCTTGTTGTTATTGCTTTTGTTGTAATATTTACACAGAGAAAATAAGTGGATTTATTTTTTTTTGCTTTTCGTCACACTCTACTTTTTTTTGCTTCCACAAAAATTATTTTGTTATTTTTATTTGTTGTTGTTATGGATTTATTATTATTTTCTGCTGATTTTCACTGAATATTTTTGTTGTTGCTGTTGTTGTTCGGCAACGATGTCGGCATAAGATCTTTATTTTTATTTTTGTTTTTTTTTTTTAATTCTTACACGTTCTTCAGCACCGTTGTGGGGTGTTGTTGCTGTTGTTGTTTTTGTGCTTTGCGTTATATATACTTTTTTGCAGAATACTTTTTTTTTTTGATTTGCTGTTGTTGGATTATTTTTTTTTCTTCTTTAAATAAACTAGATTTTTTTGTTGTTGTTGGTGTTATTGTGGGCTATTTCTCTTGTGCTTTTCTTGATTGGTCTTCGTTGACGTCGTTATTGTGTTTGGCGCGGCGCTATTTGCTGCACATACATATTTTTTTTACTTAATTTATTTATTTTCTATTTTTCATTGACTTGAAAACCGAAAATTATTTAATTTTCCCAAAAGTTTTTCCTTAAAAAATTTCATATTCGTTACAGAACGGAACAGAATATGGCCCGGCGCTGCTATCTTTGAGATACTTTTTTTGCGGTTAAACGCGTTGTTGTCGTCGTCGCCCGTTTATATTTTTATTTAATTTTTTGTTATTGGGAGGAGTGTGTGTTGTTATATGTTGCGCGTTTCGTAAAATAATGTCCACACACGGTATCGGTCGTTGAATAAATAAACCAAACACGATGAGAGTAAGTTGCTCTAACACACAGGCATGCACTGGCACTCACATGTAAACAACACTCTCAACACAAATACTTGCGCTCGCTCTCTCTCTCTCTCACACAACTTGGGATGTGTGTTGGCTGCTGCCGTCGCTGTTGTTGGTTGGTTGATATGTTGCTGCTGCCCTAAGATGACAATGTGGTCGGCAAACAAACATCAATCTGTTCGTTTTTTTTTGAGAGGGAGGGGGGAGGAGCACGAGGATAAACAGTGTTTGGATTTTTTTTGCAGTTCGTTGTTGTTGTTGTTGGATAACTTCGCAAAAATACTTGGGTCACAAACAATACCCGTCGTACTACACCCAAGAGTATGGCATACCACGAAAAAAATAATTGCTCTCAAAAATAAAATTTAAGGAGAACACTTCGTATGTTTTTTGTTTCGTTTTTTTGCTGTTCTCCTCGTGAGGAAAATAAAAACTTGATTTTATTCAATTTTTACACATGAATGCACTCTTTCTTTCTCTCTTCACACTCTTTCTCACAATATATTTTGCGTGAAAGAAAAATATTTCTTTGAAAAAAAATCTATTTTAACGAGATCGCACACCGATCGATCACTTCTATTACTCGTTGCATACTAATACTGGGTCGGTGTGGCGCAAATAACACGAAGTCTTGGCCATAAGTTGCTCAGAGGTAAGGCGAACAAAAACAAAAAACCCGCAAAACAAATGTTGCCAAAGACAAAACAGAAGAGAGAGAAAGAAAGAGAGAGAGCCAAGAACACAACAGGTAGTTGTACTGGATGTTGCGAGACTATCTTGGCAACAATGTTGCCCAACTATTGCAACACAGAAAAAAACACACACACATAGAATTCATACCGGATGTGCACACACTCATATCCGGTGAACAACGGCAAGTGAAATGCAATAACATCAACATCACCACTCTCTCATACCTGTGTGGACAAACGCTCTTTGCTCTGCTAAAGGGGAAATACGCGGGATTTATGCCAATATCTGAGACTTATCAAATAAAAACCATGTCAGCACCAGCTTGTATGGAATATCCCAGACTTATTGCAGGTTTTTGTGGGTTCTTGCGGCATGTTCACATGTACACACATACGGACATTTATGTCACATATGTACGTACGTACATGCGGAGAATTTGTATGTTTTCACATTTACTTTACAAAGTGTGAAAAATCGTGGATTCTATAATTTTTTAACACCTTGCATATCACACATATACACACACATGTGTACATACATACATATGTGAAATGTGTGTACTCAAGACCACTGAATGTTTGAGACAATTTTTTTCACACATATGTAAGATTGGGACAGGGGACAGTGTTTTGGAAAATGTAAAATAATAATTCTCTAAAAATTGACAAGTGTTAAATATTTAAAAGAGAGATTTGAGACTTGGTCAGATTCCAATTTTCAATGGCATCTCCTTAGGTTATTAGTGGCTCCATTCAAAAGAGAAGTTATAAAACACGTATTTCATCTTGCAGAAATACCTCTAATTTGAATTTTTGGATTCTAATTTAAAAAAATTGTTATTTTTAAAATGAATTAGACCACGTTAAAATAGTTTTTAATTATTTCTGTACAATTACTCTCAATAGAGCCCAGAAGAGGTGGGACAAAACAAATCATATGGCTAATTTACTCAAAGTGTGGCATAATTTAAAATTTGTGGGTTTTAAGAATGACAATTTATATTTTTTCTACGAATCTTATTTTATTTTGCTCTCAAATTTTTATGTTTATATCTGGGGAATATTCTTATTTTTTTTTAAATGAGCATCAGACCAAATAACTTGATTTTTTAAGAATTTTATTGAAGTTCTATCAGACTAAAGAAATAAATTTCAAGAACTGTGTTTTAAGCAGAGATGATCCGTTTGACATTTTTTCGGGTTTTCTACTGTCGAAAACTTGTAAACGTCGAAAACGTCATATAACTATCTAAAACGTAGAAAAGGTGTAAAACGTCATAAACTTCTAAAATATTGTAATACCCCACATAATACATTCCAAAATCTTTAGATCGTATTATTAAAAACTCGCTGATCATAATGATGATATGTATAAATCTTCCAAATCTGCAAAGTTACATCAGAGAGCTTAAAACCTGAGGCTGGATTTTGTTTCATGAAATTATGAATATTTTCTTTACAACATTTTTCATTTGCATTCCATGAAGGACTATCAGTGATTAACCATAAATTTTTAAATAATCTATGTATACCTCCTAGGGACATAATAAAAACATATCTTGGGGTATTTATAAATTTTTTTTATTTTATATATATTTTTATACCCTACAACACTATGTGTTGGGGCCATTATAAGTTTGATTGGGTCAAAAATTATGTAAAGCCTCGAAATAATGGTTTCCTACATAGGATAGTGTATATGGATCTTCCTATCTCCCCGAGATCTAGCTATGTATGTCCGTCCGTCTGTCCATGTTAATTTGTTATCAATCAACAGAGACATAAGACATTATTTCAAAAAAACGAAATCTTCCAAAATGGATTTGGACATATGGGGACTTCGAACAAATTGTAGTGTTGTAGGGTATCACATGGTCGGCCCTGTTGTTTTTCAATATTTTTGTGTTAGTATTATTTAAAGTTTTAAGAAATGTTTTTTAGGGTCTTTCATAGCTAAGAATTTTTTTATTGAAATTCTTTGTGAGGTTGGAAGTCCTCTGATGGTATTGAACTTTATAATAAAAAATTTTAAGAAATGTCTAAGAATATTGCATTTTCGGAACATGATTTCAGGAATTATCCATGGCTCTTGGAAGAAATGTATTTTAGATTTCTAATAAAATTTAATTTTTTAGATTTTCAATGAAATTTAAAAAAGATCTTATCAATTTTTTCGCCGAAACAGTATCAGAGAAAAGGATGTTATTTTAAAGGAGAATTATTATTATTTATTTTTATTTTTGGAAAATTATTTTATTTGAAGATTTATCACAGCAAAAATCTTACTTAATCTTAATTTTTTATAAAAATCTTTAAAGGTCGTTTATAGGTAAAAAATTGTGAGATCTTTTTTGAAGGACTTCATATTTTTTCACAAGGACTGCCAAACCAATTGTCTGTATTTTTTAATAATTTTTATACCCTCAGCCATATGGCTAGAGAGGGTATATATCATTTGATATGGCCAAAAAGTTTCTCATCGAAATAAAAGTTTTAGACCCTAGGTCTCTTTGGGCCAGATCCGTTTCAGGAGTCGATCTAGCGATGTCCGTCCGTCTGTTTGGCTGGTTGGCTGGCGCGCACGGTAACTCTCGAAGGGGGTATCCAATTTGGTCCAAGCTTGGTATATCGTAATATTATTGTCAATCTTGGATTGAGCTCGGAGATGGGCAATATTGGGCCACTCGTTCTGGTATCACCCCTAAAAAAATCGAAATTTTTAAAGAAAATATTTCACTGCACTGAAAGGAAAGGTGCAGCGTCAGTGCTAGATTAGATGCGAAAATGGACAATATCGACCCACTTCATCAAGTACCTCCCCCACAAAGGATCAACATTTTAAATAAATGTAATTCTTATAAAATGTGATGTAAGGGTCCAATTGTTTTCAAATTTCACGTCTCCCAATAATTTTATTAACCCAAGGTCTGGTGTTAAAATGGAATACACTTCTGGTACCTCCCCCACAAAAGGTCGAAATTTTTAAAAAAAAAATATTTTTTTTTCTGCACAGAAAGAGAAACGATAATCCGATTTTGTTCCAACTTTGCAAATCGTAATATTTGCGTCAGTGCTAGATTAGATGCAAAAATGGACAATATCGACCCACTTCATCAAGTACCTCCCCCACAAAGGATCAACATTTTGAATAATTATAACTCTTATAAAATGTGATGTAAGAGTCCTATTGTCTTCAAATTTCATGTCTCCCAATAATTTTATTAACCCAAGGTCTGGTGTTAAGATGGAATACATAGGTCCACCACTTCTGGTACCTCCTCCACAAAAGGTCTAAGTTTTTTAAAAAAAAATATTTTTTTTCTGCACAGAAAGAGAAGCAATAATCCAATTTTCTAATCCTAATATTTGCGTCCGATCTCAGTCAGTCAGGTGCAAATATGGATAATATCGGTCCACTCCATCAAGTGCTTCCCCCACAAAGGGTTAAAATTTTAAATAATTATAACTCATACAAAATGTGATGTAAGATTCCGATCGTCTTCAAATTTCACACATCCCAATATTTTTATAAACTCAAGATCTACTGTGAAGATGGGATATATCGGTTCACTCCTTCTGGTACCTCCCACACAAAGGTCAACATTTTGAACATCCATGAAGCTTATAAAATGCGAAATTAACATCCGATTCCATTCAGACTATTTACATTTCAATATTTCCATCAAACATGGTAGAAATCGGACCATCGCTTCTAGTACCTCCTAAAAAGGGTTAAAGTTTTGACTAACCAAAACTATCAAAAAACCGAAATAAGCATCAGGTTCTCTTCAAATTACACACATCACAATATTTTTATTGACCCAAGGTCTGGTTTGAAGATGGATATCTTCTATCTAAGGATATCTGTCGGCAAAACCGACTGATTCTTTTTAACTTGTTTTGTAATATTTATTGAAAGTATCAGCCGTATCGGACGGACCAAATCCGTTTCAGGAAATGTGGAGTCGATATAGAGGTGTCGGTCCGTCTGGCTGGTGCGCACGATAACTCTCGAAGGGAATATCCGATTTGATCCAAACTTGATACATCGTGATATTTTCGAGTTTGGAGATGGGCAATATAGGTCCACACTTGAATAATTATAACTCTCATAAAATGCTAAATAAACCTTCGATTCTCTTCATATTTCAATCATCCCAACATTTCTATTAACACAAGATCAGGTGTGAATGTGAAATATATCGAACCACTGCTTCCGGTACCTTCCGCACAACGGGTCAAAATTTTGAATAACCATGAAGCTCATAAAAAGTGAAATAAGCATCCGATCACTTTCAAACTCGACACATCTCAATATTTCTACGTTATATCGGGACTGTTTTAGGAAATCTTTTACTATGGGAGAATTTAAATTTAAAGAATTCAAAACATTTAGGATATTTGAAATTCAATTGAATGACATTCCTAAGAAGCTATACCGGTGCCATGAACATATAATTTGTCAGTTTCGTTGCATGCGATTTTTTGTTTGATTGTTGGTGCGAATTTTCCAGGGGAAACTCAAAAGTCATAACTGAGTTCATTTCAAGAAACGAAAACACTCACACAGTTGATCTTCTTTACAGGTGTGATTTACAACACCTCTGCACTTCTTCTTATTGTCCTCGACATGAGGGTGGTGAAATTTATGCTCTTGGCCAACATATGTGGGAAATTCCCAAAATTAGGTATTGCTAGGTATTGGGTAAGAAAGGATTTTCGGAGAGCACGACTCAGTTATAGACAGTTATGCTAGAATGTTGTGGAATTTTAAATTTCAGAACAAATTTAATTTTTAATCGAAAAAATGATTAAAATATTTTTCGCTACATTAAATCAATCACAATTGGTTTGCCTTGTTCTAAATCGAATATCTATAAATTGAAGACAATAATCCAATTTT